ATAAAGTCTACATCAACTTTTTGTACATGCCTAGCACATTGAGTTCTATATCGTGCCCGTCATCGATGCTTTCATGCACTATGTCAGGATTGCAAACCGCATTCATCGCTCATACGTCTTCGACATCTTCGCCCTCCCTACACCGCCACCATCGCCAAGTTTGCTGATCGTGCTTGTTGGGGAATTCACCTTGGGCTGTCCAAGGAGTACCAATTTTGGAACATCTTGGACAACCACACTCAGCATGTGACACCTTCTCATGGCGTTCGTTTCTTCGCGAAAGTTACTCTTACGACCTTTCGCCTGCGTTGCGATGCAAAACCGGAGCACATGTTTGAAGGGCAACATAGTTTTTGCCACATCAAGCTATGAAGAGACCACCACCACCAACAATACTGAGCCTCCTGCGGGGGCTAGCTCATCTCACCACCACCCTACCTTTCGTGGACGAAGATGATGCCAACAGCGAATCTATTGGCTCCTCTCGCAACACTCTATGCCATGGCACTGCCACGACCACGACTATCGTTGAAGGCAATAACGACATTAGGGAGGTTACAAATGAGAATGAAAACACACCTTTAAAATTGCACCTGATGGGCGAAACCGGCCTTCGCGTCCTCAGTCTTGCCGTTCATCTCTGGCACTTGCTCTGCCATCCGATACCTGCCCTGCCCACTTGAACTCAAGACCCAACGCCAAGCAATCACCGGTCAACATAGCGCCAACTGGCGCAGCGCCATTAAAACCGATGTTGTAGCCTTGTGCGGCACCGGATTATGGTTGATCGTATTATTGTGAAATGGGGACTTATCCTTTTAGAAACGTGGGTCTTCTTTAATAACGCTAATGCCGATGGGATCATCGAATGCTTCAAATCTTGATGGGTTTGGCTTTTCAACAAGATATGTGGCCTCGATTTCGACTATATCTTCATCCGCGTCCGTCACCATACATCTGTCTGCATCCTCCTCCTCATTGCCACTATGAAATACGCTAACGGAAGAAGCTGTCCACATCTGGGCTCTTTTAGGCGAAGAATTGTGTCCGATGTTTGTAAAATAAGTAGGTTAAAAATCAGGCTTTAAGGTGCTGGTAGGCACATGCCTAAATACTGTAACACAACCACATGACAACCAGCTTTGGAAAGTCATTACAACCATGCTAGTGCAAAAACAATGTTCACACTACTATTCGCGGACAATTTGTGTCTGTCTCAAAACATGTAGGAAGTACCCCAAAATCAGTACCACCACCACCTCCGAGTCCATCTACCCTTTGCCCCAACCACCACCTTCAACCTCCTCGTCATGCTGTCAATAAGCTGCCTACACATATCAGCACCTATCCGTCCCAAGTCTCTTACACCCGCTCCCAAGTTTGGAGCATCCCCGTGGAGGGGTGCTTATACTTGGCAAGCTCGCGTTTGAGGTGTGCCCACAAGTGCTCGATAGGGTTGAGATCAGGGGAGGAGGAGGGCCACTGCAGGACAGAATACTCCTGCTCAAACAACCACTCCTACAAAAAGCGGCTCTTGTGCTTGGGGTCATTGTCATGTCTGAAGATAACATCTGAAAGGGTTAGGACATAAAACTCAATGCTTTGTTCAAGCACATCCTGTAGGATGCTTCTGTACAGCGGCCCGTCCATACGGCCGTCTATCTTACATATATACAGGGCCATCGTACGTCATACACTCCCACACGATGACTTACCCATCCCCATGCTTCAATATCTGCTTGACTTGATCCCCTGCACCCGCGCCTAAATAACATCGCGTGGTCATATCCGCGCCTCTGACCGTCACGTCTGACATATCCATGGGTACGTAGGACCGTCACCACATATTCAATTGATCTTGGTCTCATCGGACCAGATCACTCGTTTCTAGTCGTCCAAGGTCCAGTCAACGTGGGCATTGGCGAAATCGAGACGGTCTCTGATGTTGCACGTAAAGAGGCGTGGCTTCTTCGGTTGCTAGGCGGTGACTAGGCTAGACAATTTAAGAGCATGCTGTGTACGATTTTAGGGCAGATCTTTATGTCGCGATCTGTTTCTAAAATTTTCCCAACTTCTGCTCTAGTATGCAATTGGCCAGAAGTTACAGCTTGCATGAGGGTGTGCCTATCGCGTACTGAAAACATGTGCGGTCGGCCAGACCTTAGGACTGTCGGCCTGACCGCTAGGCTGTTGGTGTGTTGAGAGGCCTCCTGAGCGCATTTCCAGACTGTGCTCTTCCCTATCCCTAAAACTCTAGCGATTCGTCGAAACTCTGACCCCATCGAAGTAGACTCGCGATCCTGTCTTTCTGTCCCGAAGTCAGGGGCCACATCGTTGCTGGGAGTCTGACGAGGTTCACACTACCTCCAATTCGTGATCCCAAATAATGTCCGGACTTTGGCATGGTTATGAATTCCGCAAATGTCGCTAGAGAATTTTGTGCGTCGTCGAAATTCTTCGCCATATTCATTCTGAGGATGGAACATGGGGAACGAAAAGCGTCCTCCAGATAGGGACGGTGCCACTTTCGAACCACCACCCTGGTCGCATGACTGGCGTCGCACGAAAAGGTGACGCAGAATTTTGCACATGGTGTTGGTTGTACAAAGAATTGTGCCGCAAGCTGTCACGACACAGGACGTTGCTCGACGATGCATGCAACATGTCGTCACTTTCGTGAAAGGGTGTTCAAATTTCGAATGATGGAACATCGGGTGAGTTGGGCCTGTTCACCTAGGTGGTACGGTGGGTGGTCCGGACTTTTGGAGGAGTGGTTCGGACTGCCAAAATTCGTGACGTCGTCCGGATTTTGGCATAACGTATCCGATGTCCTGCGCCCCAAAACCTGTCGGAGAAAACTAGGCGGCTTAGGATGCGAGATCACGAAATATTGAGAGGACATATATTTATACTTGATGTGGGAGGTAATTGTCCGCATCGACTGGTTATAACAAAATAGACACTAAAAGCGTTTTGAAAATATACAATGCCCTAGAATACTATGATGTTAAAGCCCTTAGGCACAATATAAAAGGGGCCCTTGGGCGCGTTACGAGAACATAACATGCCTAAATAACACAATCTTTAGAGTTTTGTCACCTTTCATACCCAGTTATTTGCGGCACTGTACTGCAGACTGTCAGCTAAGGATGTCCCTCTACAAGATAAGAAGGCTCCTCGTCTCTGGCAGCAAAACCTTCACACCATCTTCATCTCCATTGGTTTCGTGCAGTTGCCTTACAACCTAGGGATGTACTGCATCCAGCGATGCTCCGAATACATCCTCCCCACGGTGTACGTCAAGGATATTATCTACAGCAGAACCTCCAACACCCTGCTCAAGCAATTCAAACAAAACATATGCAGCCACATCGACATCAACTACACGCCCGAAACCATTCATCTATTTTCTACTAAGCACGTCGAGTCTCTGACGAATAAATTCGGCATCGCTCCCATTGTAGTTTCCATTCCCTGCCACGTCCTAGCCGTGGATCACATGTCCAACACAAATTCCCTAGGCGTATCTGACCAGCAACTCTACCCGCAGCAGCTGGGCTGCCTCCTGTTCGTTGTCGTGACGTTCTGGCTCAACATTTCCTTTATTGCCAGCCTGCTCGCCCAGCACACTCGACGACCTAAAAGAGAGAATCTATTCGACCTGCGTCGCGTCCCGTTGGCCTTACGTACTCTACTACCATTACCTACGCATTTAATTTTGCAATCCTTCCTGCCTTTTGTGTATGGATTTTCCACATAATTCCGAAATCTGGTAAGAACACGCGTATAGCTGATATCTGCGTTTTGTTTATGTTCCTACATCTCATCCTAAAAAGAGGTTGATGTGATTCTAAGCTGTGTGCTTGTTCTGGACCCCTGCCAGTGCTGAATCTATGGATTTGCAGATGGACATCCTGCATACTCACCTTTCGGTTTGTCCGCCGAATCGCAGTGATGGTGATTGTTCCAGCGTGGTAGGCGACGAGAACTTTGTGCGTCGCACAGGTACATATCGAGAGGACGGCGAAACGGCGAGTGGCGCTTCGTCGCTGGGAATGGGTTTGAAGCATTCGAGGCAATCTAGGTGGCCCCTCTCGGTCGCAAGCAGCCCAACGGAGTTGCGGCGCGCGCGCCGTCTTCATCGGCTTGCAGGGCATTTGTTTCGGGGTTGCTATCGCACAGGCACGTGCAAGTCCCCCCTTCATGGTGCAACTTTGCTTCGTGTCGTGATGTTCGCGACGCCGTCATCAATCAAACTCGCGAGCCGCGCAACATAGCGAGACACAAGCGGCTTGATGTGGCGGAAACGAGGTCACCGGAGCACGTCCAAATCGCCAATTGCACATCGCACAGAGGCTGCGATTCGGCAAGTTACACGGTGCAGAAAGCATCGCGCAATCTCACAGTCGCACCCACAATCGTCAACGTCCGCGAAAAAACCAATGGGTTACACCACTGTGACGTGAAAGTTACATCGTGAGCTCACGCAACGAGCAGTCGTTTGTAGCCCTTCCCAGTCGCATCATGTGACGTGGGCTGTCGCACTATCGTGCTGATTTGCTCTGCTTGCTGAATATTTTTCCAGTTGCAACTGCTGTACTTTTCACCTCATGTCGCTGGGGCCAACTGCATTGCATTCCATCCATCCCATCCCACGGAGTTCCTAAATCAGCAGCAGCAGCCCCCATCAGCCGCATCCTCCCGCCCGGAGTCCTGGACCTCCGCATCCCCCTCCCCCCCCCTCCCCCCAAACGAGGTTGCTCGGTGTTTCTGTCGCCCTCGCGCTTCGGCTCGCCAGATACACTTCGCATCGCCTCTGTTTCCCATCACTTGTCTCTTTCGCCCTTACCCTACCTCTCTCTCTCGCGCGCGTTACATGCGTCGCCTAGGCTGGAGCGTTCACAAGTCGCCGCCAAAGCTCACAACGCAACTCGTGCTCTCCACAACTCATTCTGCTGGCCGTCGCACCCACCCCAGTCGAAGTCATTCATACCGCCCGATTCCCCCACCCTCAGCGATGGCGTGCGGCCAATTGACTAGCAGGTCCCTAATCCACCATTGACAATTTGGCACGCCTTTAGAACTTCAGAAACACCCAAGCAACACAGAGCGACTGCTTCTCGTGCCCTAGCGTGCTCGCAGAGAAGCCCAGTTAGTTTCGTACGTCTGGGTTTGCACTTGCTCGCTATTACGTCGACCAGCCCGAACAGCCTACCGTCAGTAGATTCTCGTGCTCTCATTAACCGTCTGTGCATCTCGCGAATCCCTCTTAGTGTCCGTCTTTGCCTTTGAACGGACTGGAAGCAGAGAATAATAGCGAATAACAGCAGAGAATTCTGGCGTGAGACGTTCGTAGACTCGCGTCGCCTTCCCAGAGTACCTCGGTAGCTCCGAGCTGATTTTTTGAATTTCTCGGTAGCTCCGAGCTGCGTTCAAGACAATCGAACGCCATGAAGTCTCCCGCTTTGCTGGAAGTCCACGTGGATCAGCTAGAAGGGCTCGATCTCAGCGCCCTTTGCGCCGCGAATCACGTTAGCGGCGGCGTCTCGCTGTGCGTGAGGCTGACGGTTAGCGCGGGCAGCAGGTGCTTAGGCGTGGCGCAAACCAGGCCCGTAAATCCCGGAACGAGCAGTTGCATCGCGTTCAACGAGCTCCTTCAGGTACTAAACTCTTAACTATTACGTCCCCACTATTCTGCAGGGGTGCTTCCCCCACTCGTCCCCCACTTACTGAAGACTGTCATAGTTGCAGCCCGTTGCGAGATCTGTAGTTTCCCTATGCGTCTCCATAATTCGATCACTGGTGCATCCCTATGCGTCTCTTTCGTCCCACCAGCTTCACCCGCAGTAACTCATCCCACGCTTCCCCATCTCTCCTCCCCTGGTCCTATCAACAGATCCCGGTTTTCGAACAGCACCTGGACATACGCCTGGGATTGGTTTCCGCAGGGCAGTCAACCGCTCTGCACCGCATCGATAGTCCGATCAAGTATCTCACCAGCGCCTTCCTCGCGGCGGCGCAGCTACCCACGTCAGCCCTCGCGTCAGCATCGATCGATACCTGTCGCTGCGGCGGAGCTCTTCCTGCGACTTTAGGTGTGCAGTCGTCTCGTCGAGAAACTCCGACTGAAAGCTCCCTGGAGGATCTAACGGGCCGTCAACGAACCGACGGCAACGATTATCGTCAACACCAGTCGCAGCAGTCGCAGCAGTCGCAGCAGTCGCAGCAGTCGCAGCAGTCGCAGCAGTCGCAGCAGTCGCAGCAGTCGCAGCAGTCGCAGCAGTCGCAGCAGTCGCAGCAGTCGCAGCAGCAGCCCCGTGATGGGTTCTCCCTTCTCCTCACATCCTCGTCCTCCCATCCCTTAGCCATTCTCCGCGTCTCCGCCGCCTTGCTCCCACTTGGCCTCTCCTGGCCCTTCCCCTGCGCCACCCGCGCAAACCCCTCTTGCGCCCTCCTCGAGCGGGGACTACCCACCGCAGCCGCCCCTTGTACTTCCGCGGAGAGAGTGGGTGGGATGGGCGCAGTCGGCAAGTCTGCGCCTGGGGAACCCGCGCGACTTTCCGCGTATCCTTCCGCTCAACCTTCCGCCCACCCTTGTTTGTCCGCCGAATCCGCCCGTTTGAATTTCCGCAAGCGAAAGTGCAAGTCCGGCCCGCTGCTCTTCCACGATTACAACACCGCCACCGCCGCTACCGCCGTCGTATGCGCTGATCCGTCCGATTTGACCGAATCTGACAGGTCGGCTCTGCGTCTCTCCAAATCCGGCCCACTGCCGTCTGCCGCCATTCACGGCGCATCCTGCGGCGTCGTCAACGGCGACCACGCAACCGGCTGGCCGTCTTGCAGATTACAGTCGGAACAGACGCTTGACGGCGACGTAAGCGGCAAGGTCGACGGGTCTGCCGGCCGGTCCACGTCGTCGTCAGCTGCCCCGTCGCTCTTGGTCAGCCCGTTAGCGCTTTGGACGGCGCCGGACACGGCGCCAATCGCGGCGTGGGCGTTTTCCGAGCCGCAGAACTGGCACAGGGCGCGGCATCCAGCCGCCCTTTCGCTCGACAGCAGCAGGGGAGCCGCAGGCGGAACGGGCGCAAGAGCGGCGTATCCGGGCGGAGCGTTTGCGATGGAAGGAGGGGGGGCACGCGTGGGGGGTTTCGCAGGGTTGGCGGAGCCGCTTTGGCGACGAGGCTTTTCGCGAGGGAGCGGGGACGACGACGACGATAACGACGCGGACGAAGTGTCGTCGACGTTTCGAGGCGACGGTTCGTTGTCGCAAGTACCTGAGTTCGCAAGCGCGGCCGCGGCAGGAGGTGTACTGGGCACGAGCGGAGGGCGCGCGCAGGTGTGTGCTTCCCCAGGGGGAAGCTCCCAGGTTCCGCGCAAGACGGGAGGCGGACAGGCGGAAACCGCGGACATGGCGGTAGACTTCCTCCTCAACGAGCTGCTCGATGCGCAGACGTTGGCGGAATGCGCGGAGGGCGGGGGCGGCGCAGCGGGGGGCGGGAGCGGGGATGGGGCAGAGGAGGGTCAGGGGGAGTTTTGCGGAGGAGAGGAGGAGGGGGAAGATGAGTCGTGCGGAGGTTTCTGCTGCAGAGGGGGAGCACGGAGCGGCAGATGCGCGCTTAGCGTGTCTCGCCTGTCGCTTCCATGCGACTTCGACACAGAGGGCGATTGTGATGGCGACTGTGGCGACTGTGGCGACTGTGGCGACTGTGGCGACTGTGGCGACTGTGACGACTGTGACGACTGTGATGGCGACTGTGATGGCGACTATGACGACGAGAAATCAGGCGAGTGGGCGGAGGAAGGGATGGAGATGCACGAACAAGTACCCGAGAACCATTGCCAGCAACAGCAGCAGCAGCAGCCGCAGCAGCAACAAGAAGAGCAACAACATGTGAGCCAGGAGCAGCAGCAGCAGCACATCTGGTACCAGTGGAGTGGGCCACTCCCTTGCTCCTCCCTGCCTGCTGATGCATATATCTTTTCCTCTGCTCACCTGTCCTCTTCACACTCTGCCCCTTTAACGGCTATTGGACAACCTGTGCTTCCAGCTACACTTCCAGCAGCAGAGCTGGCAACACAAGCGCCAGTAGCAGGGGCAGCAGCAAACGAGGCAGCAGCAGCAGTGGACTATTCTCTAGCTTCTCGGTGCGCCTCACAAGCATCTGTGCCGGCAGTTCCGTTTCCTTCCGTGGGAGATGAGCACGTAGGGCAAGGGCACATGGTTCCAGGGCACATGACGGTGATGTGCTGCGGAGGGCATGCGTTGCAGCTAGCGTGATGCGGTCTAGCCCATGGGCACGGAGCAGAAAGCGGAAGAGCTTTGGAAGGGGATGCAGGAGAAGTGGCGAAGCATGGTGTTGGGCAGGTTGAGAGGTGTAGGAGTGGATGGTACAGCTGCTGGTATGTGATGTGAGTGCTGCAATCCCTGTTGCGGCACGTTGAGAGTTATGAAGGTGCCTCTTCGTGGGAGGTATTCCTCATGGAATAGACTGTTTTGTTACAAAGCTGTGCTGGATCCAACTATTTGTTGGAGACCAAGAGTTTACATTACTTTGAAGTGCTTGGCACACACCTCGAATCAGCATCACCTTGTGATAGTGTGCACTGGTGTCCAGGAATGACACTAAGTGTGATGTGCCCATTAAATTGATCATTTGTGATGACATGGTATGAGAATGCAAATAAGGAAACGTTGAAAAGGAAGGCCAGAGAGAAAAATGACCGATGCGTATTGCCCTATTGAAAGTATGAAAAGATATGAGTAAGGTATTGCGAATCATAAGGCTTCAAAGTTCGGGCCGTTTAGGACTTTGTATTAATTTGGTTTACATGAGAGAACGACTATGCATTTGGTTTACAGGAGTACTAGGTGGTGGCGCATGACTTCTTACTGGATATGGGGTGCAGCCGTGATCTGGACCCACGTTTGACGACTGCCACAGCAGCAGCTTGGAGCTCTATTCGCAGGATGCGAGGAAGGAGTTCGTACGGGGCCATGTTACCAGCTGCTTGTGCTTTTGTCGCACGTCGCGCTGACACAGACGAATTCGGCTCTCGTGGCACGCCAACATAGGTGGAAGAGGCAGCTCACTCTTGCTTGTTCACATGACGTGGACACAAGTTCCTTGTCGTTTTGTTGCACGGACGAGTGTTGTTGTAAGGGACAGGGAAATGCTGGCACTCGAACTTCGAGTCGCGCTCTCATCCGCGGCTCGACTCACCACAGAGTAATGTGCCATTGCCGATCCCCAAGAGAAAGTGAGGCACACACACACACACACCCCGGGAACAGACATGTGAAGCCAAGCCTCGAAGTTTGTCCCAACACTCCTCCAGATCCTCCCCCCTCCCCCCCAAACATGCTGTGCCTGAGAATCAGCACAGGGAAACAGCAGGTAGCGCAAATACTCTGCCACGTCCGCAACCCAGCTCAACTAAAATCGTCTCTTCCTCGCCAGAAATACACAATGAAGCCCGCACGCTTCACCCCCGCCCTCCTGCCGTCCCTCTAGCGACGTTCCCGGTGACGGGAATTCATGGCCATATCGCAAAGCCTCATGCTTGTTGAATGCGCGTCCCCGCAGCCGGTCCATTGCCGCTGCCGATAGCCCCTTAGCACAAGGCTCCATAGTCGCTCCTTACGACCAGGCTGATAAAGATAAGAGAAACGCGCTGTGAGAATCTCACTGAAATGCTGCAATTACGGATGACGAAAAGAGAGCGGGAATTGATGGCAGTTCGGCGAAAAAGGACCAGGATGGCCGACTTCCCTTATCAACCGCGTGCCTCGCTCCCCACATTGATCCCGCGCCAACTTCTCGGGTGCTTCGCGTTTTTCCTCCTGCTAATCGCGTCTGTCGAGGCTGTCTATACCGGGGACAAGTTCGCGACGATCCAGGCGAGCGGAGTGGCGCGCAAGACCCGCAGGCCCGACATTGTGGTGGCACTAGACGGTACAGGCGACTATAAAACCGTGCAGGTGCGGTAAATTGCCTTCGAGCTATGCTCTTTTTTCCCTGTTTTTCCTCTTTATGCGTGTATGCTGCTTTGCTCTCGACGAGCGCTTGCTCTCGAAAGCTAATTTAGGCGGCGTTGCGAAGATGATCGCGCTCTTGGTTTAGATGTCTGAGTTCCTTTGTATGTTCGCCTTCCTGACCCTCGTACGTGCATCTCCTGAGACCGTCCGCTCTGTTTCCCTTTCGCGTTGTGCGCGTTTCAGGAGGCGCTCGATAACGCGTCGTCTGGACGGCGGGGCCGATTCACCATCATTTACATAAAGGCGGGAGTGTATAACGAGACCCCAACTGTAAGAGCTTATTCAAGCTGCCACGTCTACTGGCATTTACATCGCGACCGGCTAGGGAGGGACACTAAAACAACGAAATCAGAGCAGAGATATTTCGATGTTGAGTTTACGAACCCTAGATCATGCTTCAACTCTCCCCACTCCCACTTTCACTCTGCCTCACCACCCCCCTCCCTTCCCCTCCCTCCTACCGTCATGCAACAGACGCCCAAGACGCTGCACCACGTGGCGCTGGTGGGCGAGAAGGGCAGCGGTGGCGGCGGCGGCAGCGGCGTGACGATAACGGCGGCGCACTACGCGGGCGAGGAGGGCACGGAGGTGGCGATGAACACGGAGACGAGCAGCACGTTCAAGCTCTGGGCCACGGACTTCCTTGTGCAGCACATCACCTTCGAAAACAGCCACGGCCCGGGCGTCAAGGGCGGGTCAGTGCGGCCCATTGGGTGCGCGTGGGCGTGTGGGTTTTGTGCGTGGGCGTGGGAATGTGCATGTGTGTGCAGAAAAGGGGGGGGGGGGTGGGTGGGGGGGAGGGTGGATGAATGGCTTCCAGGGAGAGTTGCGTGGCTCTGGGCCACGGACTTCCTCGTGCAGCACATCGCCTTTGAGAAGAGCCACGGCCCGGGCGTCAATGGCGGGTCAGTGCGCGTGGCAGGGGTATGGGTGGGTGTGAAGGTGGGGAAGAAGGAGGGGGGGAGGGGATTGGGTGTGCGTGGCATTCGCGGGCGAAAGCTGCACAGGGGGGGGGCTTCACTTTGAGTGGGTGTGGGCTCATAAACAGCCACAGCCCGGGGGAGAAGCCAGCGGATGGTTGGGGAGAGAGGAGCCTGAAGAAATGGGGGGGTGGGTGGGGGTGGAGAAGGGTATCCAGGGCGCGTCCAACTTTGGGGAAAGGGGTGGTGGTGGCTCTGGTGTTGGGTCTGGTGCGCTTGGTGTGAATAGACATTATTGTGGGGGGGGTCTGGCGAATCTTTTTAGGCTAGATTCTGTGACGCATTAGACCACCAGGCCTTGTGGTGCTAGTGCTGCGTGGATTCCCCTCTGGCGCTTTCTTGACACGTGGCATTTCTTTCTTTGCACGTGTGGAATGGATTCTGCTTGGCATGAAACGATTGGCATGATGCGTGGTGTTGCGTGGTGATGCGTGGTGATGCGATGGGCGTGCAGCAAGGAGGATCAAGCGGTGGCGCTAATGGTGAAGGGCACTCGCATCCAGTTCTACGAATGCACCTTCATTGGATACCAGGTACCACTTGCGCCACTCGCCCCTTTTGCGCCGCTCGCCGCACCTCCACTGCCACGTGTATCTTCGCACGCTCTCTCTCTCTCTCTCTCTCTCTCTCTCTCTCTCTCTCTCTCTCTCTCTCTCTCTCTCTCTCTCTCTCTCTCTCTCTCTCTCTCTCTCTCTCTCTCTCTCTCTCTCTCGCTCCTCCTCTCTCTCTCTCTCTCTCTCTCTCTCTCTCTCTCTCTCTCTCTCTCTCTCTCTCTCTCTCTCTCTCTCTCTCTCTCTCTCTCTCTCTCTCTCTCTCTCTCGCTCACTGCCTCTCTCCTGCGTCCCCCCGTCTCCTCCCGTTCCCAGGACACTCTGTACGCGCACAGCGGACTGCAGTACTACAAGAACTGCGGTGAGTGTAGCTCGATATAATACTACAGTAATCTTGCTATTATTAGACTACGGTAATCTCCATTACTCATTCGTAACGAGAGGCATGCATACCGCGATTAAACAAGGAAAAAGCCGACAATCACCCGGCACTATTGTCACAAGGCAGAAACTCGGGTCTCCTCCCCTAGAGTTCAGGGTTTACATAGAAGCTGTAAACTTCTTGCAGCACTTGTCGCTCTCCTCTGAGAATTTGGGTAGGGCAGCTGCAAGCTCGGCTCGGTAGAGTTCTTGCAGTACTTGTCGCTCCTCCCTCCTCCCTCCCCCCCCCCCCCCCCCCCCCCCCCCCCCCCCCCCCCCCTCTCTCTCTCCCATCCTCATCCTCCCGCCCTCCATTCCTCCCCCTCCCAACCCTTCCTTCCCCTCTCTTCCCCTCCCCCTCTCCCCACTCCGCCATCACCGCCGTTCTTTCCCCCCATTCCCTCAGTCATCCTGGGTCACATGGACCCGACTTGGTCTTCAGCAACGCCAAGGCGGTGCTCGACGACTGAACCTTCTTTCCCCATCCGCATCTTCCCCAATCCTCACCCTTTCTCCCCCTCTTTCCCCCCCCTTCCGCCCCCCTCTCCAGTCATCCAGGGGCGCATGGACTTCGTGTTCGGCAATGCCAAGGCGGTGTTCGACGACTGCACCTTCCGCCTCGTCTACTGGGGCGGAGCGTATTTCGCGCAGGCGCGGGACGCGGGGGAGGAAACGGGGTTCGTCATCCGCGGGGGGATCCTCACCCCGTACGGCAGCAAAGGGCCCATCCGCCCGGGTTACCTCGCGCGCTCCTGGGGGGATCGCTCCACGGTCGTTTTCGCGAACACGTTTTTCGCCAAGGACGCCGTTCGCGAGGAGGGGTGGGGTTTCGTGAGCGGTTACAACAAAACGGAGGGGCTGAATTTCGGAGTCTACAATTGCAGAGGTCCCGGGTTCAACACCTCGGGGTGGCGAGATTTTGCGAAAATTATGACACCAGCGGAAATCCGACCCTACCTGGCGAATAAGTACATCAACGACATCGGATGGATTGCGGATCCGGGGATCCTGCTGGGGGGGGTGGGGGAGGAGCTGAGTGCGCGCACGGTGAGCGCCATGTGGGGCGCGGGGAACTCGAGGCAGAACAAGAAGAAGGGGAAGAAGCGGGGGAGCCGAGGTGCTGGTGGCAGCCATGGCAGCGGTGGCAGCAGTGAGAAGAAACCAAGAAAGTCCCCTTCTCCTTCCCCTGCGCACTCTCCTTCCACGCCTTCCTCCCCCTCCCCGCATCCGCCGTCCCCTTCCCCATCACCCAACCCTCTGCCAAAGAAACCGGTCACATCAGTCCCAGCACCTACCAAACCTGCACCCAAACCCGCACCCAAACCTGCACCCAAACCTGCACCCAAACCTGCACCCAAACCTGCACCCAAACCTGCACCCAAACCTGCACCCAAACCTGCACCCAAACCTGCAACAAGGCCAGCATCTCCCGTCCCCAAAACTCCCGTCCCCAAAACTCCCATCCCCAAAACTCCCGTCCCCAAAACTCCCGTCCCCAAAACTCCCGTCCCCAAAACTCCCGTCCCCAAAACTCCCGTCCCCAAAACCCCGGTTACTTCAGTTCCCAAAGCCCCGGTTGCGCCAAAGCCCAAAACCCCTGCGGTGCCCGCACAGCCTAAGAGACCGGTGGTGCTGCCTCCCAAGAAGACTCCCCCTGCTGCTGTGGTGCCTCCTAAGCCTGCTACTCCCGCTCCCAAGGTCCCTGTACCAAAGGTGCCTGTAACAAAGCCTCCTGTTCCCAAGGTGCCTGTAGCCAATTCTCCTGTAATGAGGCCGCCTGTAACGAAGGTGCCTGTAACGAGGCCGCCTGTAACGAAGGTGCCTGTAACGAGGCCTCCTGTAACCAAGGTGCCTGTAAGCAGTCCTGGGGGGATACCCAGGTCCCCGGTAGGTAAGCCCCTGCCTGTGCCTGCCAAAACCCCTGGCACATCTCCCACTGCTCCAGCCGCCCCCATCCCTGCCAGACCGCTTCCCAAGGTTGTTCCCAGGCCTGTCACCAGGCCAGTCACCAGGCCTGTCACCAGGCCAGTCACCAGGCCTGTCACCAGGCCAGTCACCAGGCCTGTCACCAGGCCAGTCACCAGGCCTGTCACCAGGCCAGTCACCAGGACTGTCACCCGGCCAGTCACCAGACCTGTCACCACGCCTGTCACCAGACCTGTCACCAAGCCTGTTACCCGACCCCTAACCCAGCCCAAGGTGCCTGCCCCTGCAGCTGTCCCCACCCCCAAGCGCCCACTTGTAACCCCTCCGCCAGGCACCACCACCACCCCTGTCACTGGAGGTCTTCCCACCACCACCAGGCGGCCTGTTGCTGCCGTGCCCGTGCCTAAGAGGCCCGTTGCTGTTGTGCCGCAGAAACCTGCTGCTGCTGTGCCGGTGGCTAAGAGGCCCGTTGCTGTTGTGCCCAAGAAACCTGCTGCTGCTGTGCCGGTGCCCAAGAGGCCTGTTGCTGTTGTGCCGCAGAAACCTGCTGCTGCTCTTCCCCGAAGGCCCGTTGCTGTTGCGCCCCAGAGGCCTGCTGCTGCTGTGCCAGCGGTTTCCAGAAAGCCTGCTGCTGCTTTACCACTGAGGAGGCGGCCTGTGGCGGTGGTGGTCCCTGCTAGACCGACACGACCCGTAGTCACCCCGGTGCCTAAATCCCCTGCCGCTGCCACCGTGCCAGCAGCACCTGCAGCAGCTGCAGCAGCTGTGGTACCAACCCCTGGTGCTGGAGGAAGGGCTGTTGTTGCTGCAGCAAAGACGGCGGCTGGTGATAGGAGGACGGCGACTGGTGCAGAGGTGCTAAGAAGGAGCGGAGGGGCATCTCGGAACGGGGCGGCGTTGAACAACCAGCAGCAGCTGCAGGCGTGGGAGATGCGGCAGCGGCGCTGGCGGCGCCAGCAGAACCGCCAGCAGAACCGTCAGCAGCAGCAGCAGTGGCAGAAGCGGAAGGGTCAGCAGCAGGCGAGTGCAGCAGCTGCAGCAGGCGGAGGAGGAGGAAGGATAGGGGGAGGCCTGGCAGGTGCTGCTGGTGCTGGCACCTCTGCGGGTGAGGCTGGTTACGGGGCGAGCAGAGCAGTGTTAGTATCAGGTAAGACCGCAGTGAGAGGAGGACGGGGAATGAGCCCCGGGTGGCGAAAGTTTCTAAGGAAATGGGCGAGAATAGCAGTCTGAGAGAGAGAGAGGCTGCAGGCTGCAATCGTGCGTTGACGCCCTAAGGGTGTGCACACCGACGTCCACGTGGGAAGGAAGGGGGAATTGGAATCGGATGGTAAAGAGAAAAATGGGTCATACTACAAGGGAGGTGCACACACCGACGTACCGGTACCATCGGGAATGTGCATGCTGTTCTAAGAGGATTGGATTGTAATAATTTGACAGGTGTTGCAGGAGACTAAGTATAGAATCTGCAAACACGAACACTTGGAAAACCTCAAGTGTTAGCCTAGGATCTTTACTGGAATAGTAGACTAGTAAGACAGCGGAAGTCTTGTAAAAGTGAACCTGAGTATATAATTCTGTTGAAGTCAAGGTCAAAGTTCTTCAAAGTTGAAATCTCAAGGTTGATAATAAAAAGACACAACAATGTGTCAAATATATGTTTGTTCAGTTTTCTTCTCGACATGGTATCACCCGTAGGTTCGACCCCCCCCCCCCCCCCCCCCCACCTACCGCTTCCGCCTGTTCCTCCTAGGCCCCGTCGCGCTTTCACCTAGGCCCCGTCGCGCCGCCCCCACCAAGGCCCCTCGCTCGCGCCCCTCCTGGGCCCCTATCGCGCCTCCTAGCCCGTCACACCCCTCCTGGGCCCCTCTCGCGCCTCCTAGCCCGCCACCAGGGTCCTCCTTAGCAGACAAAATCCGTCTGTTTGTCTTATTTTCAGACGCGATTTTTTGGATTCTTCTGATTTTTCAGAAGTCCTAAGATAAAAATTCTGATGCCTTAGAAATTGAATTTTAGTTCTTCTGATTTTCCAGGAACTATGTACTTGTTCTTCTGACGTTTCAGACTTAGCGATTCTGCTCGTCTGAAACTGGTTGCTGTATACGGCCCCCCTTTAGGCTGTGTGAGGGGCTAATTCGCCCTTCACCAAAATTCCTGCTTGCTTCGTGTTCTAGGTTGTGTGAGGGGCCTGATTGGCCCTTCACCAAATTACCGTGCCTTGTGCGCTGGAGGGAGAGTGAGTGGGCTGATTGGCCCTTCACCAAATTCCCGTACAGTATCATGTCTGCTGTGTGCTGGAGGGCGAGTGCCACCCCACCCCACTCCCCCACAACTAGTACTATAGAAGGACGGATCTTTCGAAGGGCAGGATCCATGGCTTATTTTTGACGGGTAACTACCCGGATTTGACCAAATAACGGGTGAGTTTTAAACCAAAACCGGATTGCGACGTGTTCGATTTTCATGAACCCTGATTTGACTAGTACATTTTAACCAGAACACGAGAGTGACGTGTTCTGTTTTGAGAAGCACTGATACTAAAACTTCTCACACCACCCCACAGATCCCCCCGCCATTCCCTCCCCCCAGGGCACTCGCAAGGAAGGGGGAGTGGGGTGGGGTGGCACCCCACTCAGCCCTAGCAAGGAAGTTCAAGAAGTAGAAGTATAAGAGCTGAGCGCAGTACTCTTACGTGGTTCCCTTTGTAGAATCCAGGAACTTTTCGTGAGAGCGTTTGTCATCACGGAGAAAATCCCGGGACTGAACCCGGACACTGACGGGTAACGTTAAAGATAAACCCATTTTGTCCGGGCCCCGCGAGAGATATACCCGGATCTGCCGTGTGGACAAAAACCCTAAGGTAAGCTCTGGCAGAATCCCCCTTCCCCGCCCCTGCTACTGTATGTCGAATCTCCCTCCCACCACCCCCAGCTCGATTCCCTCCGCCCCTGCAATCTCAGTTTTCCCGCCCCTGAAATCTCTCGATTCTTCCCCAGCCTCCGCCCGCACGTGTCCTGATTTCGCCCAGCACGAGCAAATTCGTATTTATCTCGCCAATGAAAATTTGAGTCTATGCGTTTCGTTCTAACACATCCCATCCGCCTAATGACCCTGTGGCATTCGCAAATTCAACTCGGAACTTTTTGTTTCCCCCTGTCGACAAAACTAAACTGGACTGTGACAATAAGAAATTATACAAGGTTTTATCTGAATTTTCAGAAATCGATATTCATTTCGTCTGGGAAATCAGGAAAAGAAAATCAGCGCGTCTGATGATCAGACGGGCCCGAAGGGCCCGTCTGATCATCAGAAAGTGGAAAAAGCCTAGGGAGGACCCTGCCCGCCACGCCCCTACTGGGCCCCTACCGCGCCTCCTAACCTGTCGCGCCCCTCCTGGGCCCCTGTCGTGCCCCCTAGCTCGTCGCGCCCCTCTTGGGCCCCTGCCGCGCCTCCTAGCCAGTCGTGCCCCTCCTGGGCCCCTCGTGCCTCCTAGGCCCCGTCGCACCTCTCCTGGGCCCCGTGTGCCTCCTAGCCCGTCGCGCCCCTCCTGGGCCCCTGTAGCGCCTCCTAGCCCGTCGCGCCCCTCCTGGGCCCCTAACGCGCCTCCTAGCCCGTCGCGCCCCTCCTGGGCCCCTCGTGCCTCCTAGCAACCGCCGAGCCTGCATGGCCCCACCGCGCTACCTGGCCCCGTCGCGCCTGCCTGGCCCTGCCGCGCCTCCTGGCCCCGCCGCCCCTGCTTGGCCCCGCCGCGCCTGCCTGGCCCCGTTGCGCCTGCCTGGCCCCCCCGCGCCTGCCTGGCCCCATCGCGCCTGCCTGGCCCCGCCGCGCCTGCCTGGCCCTGCCGCGCCTCCTGGCCCCGCCGCGCCTGCCTCGCCCTGCCGCGCCTTCTGGCCCCGCCGCGCCTGCCTAGCCCCGCCGCGCTGCCTGGCCCCGCCGTGCCTGCCTGGCCCTGCCGCGCCTCCTGGCCCCGCCGCCCCTGCCTGGCCCGTCGCGCCTGCCTGGCCCTGCCGCGCCTCCTGGCCCCGCCGCCCCTGCCTGGCCCCGCCGCGCCTGCCTGGCCCCGCCACGCCTGCCTGGACCCACCAGCACCTGCCTGGCCCCACCGCACCTTCCTGGCCCCTTCGCCTCGGCTCGTCCTGCCGTGCCGCCTCGGGCTCCGTCTCCTCTGCTCGCCCGTGCTGAGGCGCTTCGTGGCCGCCGTGCTAGAGGGGGCTGTCAATGTGTTCCTGTGGAGCTGTGCCGCTGACCCTGAACGATGGCGGACTTCGTGCTCCGACTGGACGCCGAGGGCCATGCGGTTGACTTCGCCGCCTGGCTCTCCGATCTCCGCCGCCACCTTACAGGTCAGCGCCAGGATGGCCACTCTTTGGTTGTCCATGACGACGGCTTGCTCCCCCGCCCCCCCGCACCTGCTCCCCTCCCTGCTGATCCCTCCTCTGATGACCGTGAGACCTTCTCTGCTGCTGCACTTGCCCGTGCGGTCTGGGACTCCCGCGATGCAGTCGCTCAGGTTGCCATTAGCCATGCCCTCCCTGTCTCTGAGCGCTCGCGTTTTGCTACTATTGAGACGGCCAAAGCTTACTTAGACGCTGTTATTGCACGCTATTCCACACCCGCGTCTGCTTCTGCTGGTCGCCTGCTCTTCCCTATGCTTTTCCCAGACCTTGCAGCTTTCCCTACCGTCGCAGACTTTGCCACTCACCTGCGTGCCCTAGAGACCCGCTATCGCACTGCCAACACTGCTGCCCAGCTCACTGCGCTCCCCCCCCCTTTCTGCATGACGCTCTATTTTATCGCCATGCGCCTGCCAGACTGCCTCGATAGTGCTCGCGATCACTTCCTTAGCCTGCACTCGGCTGACCTCACCCTAACTGCCTTTGTCAACACCCTCACCGAGATTGAGACTCGCCAGCGCACTATCGCTCAGTCGAGCGGTGCGCTAGCAGTCTTATCTTTCACGGCTGTGGCCCCTCCCAGTGCACGTTCACTGACGTTTCGGCTGCGGTCGCCACGGCAACCCCCCTCACTGAGACGGCTGCTGCGGTCCACCCGCAGCAGCACTCGCGCCGCGGTGGCCGTGGTCGCCAGGGTGGTAGGGGTGGTGGCGCAGGTAGTGGTGTTGGTGGTCGTGAGAGTAGTCCGTTTGGGGGGACTAGCATTGGTGGTCAGGAGCAGCAGCCCCAGCCACAGCACGAGCAGCCCGCGCCGCAGCCGCCGTCCCAGCCGCAGCCCCCGCAGCAGTGGGCTCGCCTCCCGCCTGGTTGGCCCGGCACCTCCGGAGGTGGTGGCAGTGGTGGCGGCCCGCGCAGCTTGGCGTCTACCAGCGGCTCTGGTGCTGTGACCTGTCAGTACCAGCTTCAAACCGGGCCCCTTCGCAGCACTCTGTGCCGCCGCCCGCACCCGACTGCCCGCTGTTTCCGCCGCCTCGACGATCTGTTTCGTCGTCGCTTTGGCCCGGCCCCGGACCTCCCTGACTGGCACAGCCTGCTCCGCCAGGGCGTGCCGATCTTTGAGTTAGACATGGATCAGATAGGTGCTGCTTTGCATGCCTTGTATGCTGACGCTGCTAGTGTTGCTAGATCTTATTACCCTGTGTTCTCTAGTTTAGGTGTTGCACTGTTGTGTAGCCTTGCCTCCCCTGCTGCGTCAGGCGTAGGACTGCCTAGTTTGTCTAGCCTCGTCTCTGCACCGGCTCCGTTCGCTGCCCCCGCCACTGCTGCGCTGTCCTTCACTCTCGACTCCGGTGCTTCTGCCTGCTTCTTCCGCGACCGTTCCGCGCTCACGCCGCTTGCTACGCCAGCTGTCGTCTCTCTTGCTGACCCCTTTGCGGGTCCTGTCGTCGCTCGCAGTTCTACATCCCTTCCCTGTCCAGCAGTTCCCTCGGGCTCCCTTACAGGCCTCCACGTTCCCTCATTCTCGAGGAACGTGGTTGGTGTCGGCTGTCTCCAGGACCTCGGCGTCACCACCACGTTCCCCGGGCACGAGCGGTTCGCTGTCTGTTCTGAGGCTGTCTCAGGTTCCCCCCTTGCGACGTTCCTCCGGGACCCGGTGTCTGGTCTGTTTACCCTAGACACCGCTTCCCCTCCAGTTGGTGCGTCCTCCCAGGTTGCTGCAGCTTGCTCGTGTCGTTCCATCACTCACCCGTCCCTTCTCTGGCACCACCGCTTAGGTCACCCTGCACTCCCTTGTCTGCGTCACATGTCCCAGCACGGCCTTGTCTTAGGTCTCCCTGCGTCGCTCCCCGCCCTTCCTTCCTCGACTGCGCCACCGTGCACGCCTTGCGTCGAGGGCCGGCTCCGCCGTGCCCCACACTCCTCCTCGCTGCGCCCGGCTACTGCCCCCCTTCAGACCCTGCACCTGGACGTTTGGGGCCCTGCCCCCGTCCCCGGACCGCGCGGTGAGCGCTACTTCCTTGTGCTCGTCGACGACTACACGCGCTACACCACGGTGTTTTCCCTGGAGCGGAAGGCCGACGTGCCCGACGTTCTTCTCCCGTGGGTTGTGGCTGCGCGTCTCCACCGCGGTCTCCCCGTGTTGTGTCTCCACTCCGACCGTGGCGGCGAGTTCGCCTCAGGT